TTTGCTCAGTATTCGCACCTGTGATTATACGGCGATTATAGTTATATTTACCTCGTTGAGGGCGTTTCTTCACAACAGCAACTCCGTTAATACTGGGAGTGAGCTGTAATACGATTCTCATTACAGCTCCCTGGTACTGGAGATCGGCCATTCATATTTTTTTCGTCTGCGTGTTACACCAGGGAAACGGCTCTCCTCACATTCCTCACATTGCGTGCGTTTTTGAATATTTCAGCGCATATAACAGTGGCAATACTTTTTTTCAGTCAAAATCTGTCTATAATTAATCGTTTTAATATGGGCCAATCTGTTTTTGAGAAAAATTGTCAAATAATGTGCACAAAATATAACATTATTTTTAAATTCGAGTAGCATTCCGCCTTAAATCACCACATTCGACATACCACGACATTGTTTGTTTTATACACAAATCCGAAAGTTTAGCGGGAAGACTGTGATAACTTAAATAGTAGTGGTCGTCACGTAGCACGTGTTCGAATTTCATGTAAACAAACAATGCATTTTACACGTGTTGTACACGTCGCTATGCGTCCCATATCGAACACGTGCAATGACCACCGCCCTTGTGGGTTCCATCTGCATTTGTAAACGGTGTGGTTGACCTTTCAGAGGTCAGAACCTCAGAGCCTCAGAGGTTGAGTATCAAAGGATAATATATAATATTAATATTATTAAATAACATTTTTTTTAATTTTTAAATATTTAAAACATCATAATCCAGGTCTTAATGATCTACTGACTTGAAAAATAAAAGTGGGTAAAATATCCGCGTAGATGGATTTATCTTTTTTGCTCTGGTGTTTTGATTTTCACAGGATTTAACCCGTTTTATTTCGAATAAAGGTAATATAAGTCGATCGATAGTTTCTACCGATATCATGCTTGAGTTGTGTGAAGCGGATCGAAATATAATTTGGAAAATCGTGTTGTTTTCGTGAAATTTCGATGTCATGGTGTCAACGCTTTCCTACCTTGTGTTATTATATGAGTGGTAGGGGAACGTACCGGCGACTGACTAACTATGCCGATTCTACTTTAGGTCATTCTTTATTATCCAAGAAACGTTCCGAGCGCCTGTGGGCGTAATTGGTAAATGTACTATAGTCACGTAAAGTAGTTCTTGCGTCAGTTCTTGCATTGTGCAGTGATTAGTTACTTGCTGCATACATTTCAGCTTGATGTCATTTCATGTGTGATTTTTAAAAGGCTGATATCTCTCGCCACTGCATCGTAACACTTTTCAGTCTTCGAAACGACGACCGATACTCACAATTACTTCCCGGTAAATTAATGCGCGCGTTGTGCGTCGCTTTGCTGTTTGAGCAGAAGACGTTCCCACAGGACACACACACAAGTTAATTCGAGAGAGGTACTAAATGTATATGTGCTGGTAAAGAAATGTAAAATGTAAACTGGTACGCCATTACATATCACTACTAAGTTTGGTCCAACAATATGTAAATATAACAATAAATATAACAATATGCTAATTTATGAAATTAACATATTTGGTCCACAACCTAATCAGATCTGAGGAGTATCCAAAAGCACACTTGTACCAAATTGCCTTCAAGTTAAATTATTCTTAAGATTTTCATGATACACAGACAACGAAACTTGAAAGCTCTGATATTACCCCACCCCCTGCATAAATAATTGTCAATCTCATTCATTTTGTGCATTTTATCAAGAATGACCTGTGAGATTCAACCTTAGAGGCTTTTTGCATTGTGTTAAATACACATTGTAATTTAATTTGTTGAATTTCAGAGACTGGATCTGTTCCGGGTTTCTTAATACTAATATATAGAATGTGATAATTAGAGATGATCTACTCATCCGAAGACTCCCTTTCCACACCTAAAAAACATGATTTAAAATACCCCGTAGAAACGGCTGAACATAATATAACATTTAATCATCAAAATTGTGTTATCGTCGTTGATCACGCCCTCTCGCGGCGACATACTCATCCGTTCTACGTAAATATGTTTTTTCAAGCGAGTAGAAAAGCAACACACTCTAGTTAGCGAGAATGGATTGTGTTTATACATTTCAATCTATTTTCAAATAATCATCGTTTCATACACATATAAAACAAGGGGCTTTCACAAAACCAGCATATACCTCTGAGGCCCTGAGCCCCTGAGGTTCTGACCTCTGAAAAGTCAAGCACACCATTTGTAAACTATATTGTTAAACGTTCAAATGTCGTGAAATCAAAACGTCAGTTATACCTGTGAAACATCTCACTACGGTAAACATTTATTGTCACTCATCAAGAAGTCCATTGTCACGTTTTCGATGCTCAGATTTTAGGCTTTAAATTTAGACAAAAAGAGACAAAATTGAAAGAATCAAAAGAACCTGCAAATTTTGTAATTTCAATCAAATTGAAGATGAATTTTAGTTTCTCATAGTTTTCTCATTCCTTTGCGAGCTTCGCAAACTGTACCTCCCCGTTTCTTCTAGAATCAACCATCTGTCGACAGCTTATTTCAGTTCAGGCCGAACAATCAAAGCAAAACATTAAAGCTGTAACCTTTACCTTTGTAGAAAGCATTTAGTCTGAAATTTTTGAAAAAATGTGTTTCTTTTAGGGTCACAAACACATAAATAAATGAAGAATATATATAATTAAAATCTGCAAAGATCCCTTTCTACGTTGGTAGAAAGTGCTTTTCGATCTTGGAAGAATAGTTCCACATGCCCGCTGTAAACTGTGGGGTCACCTTTCCTAATGTTGTTGACACTGACAAATTTTGGTCATATCTATCGATCTACATCTACACACACTTCCACTTAGTGAGAGAATTCTTTGAATTTCAGTTTCAATGGATCTTCTTACTACTAATGAGTCAGGCATCACCGTCCATTCTTTCATAACTCCCTTCTCAACTACACTGTCTCCTTCCTCAACTGCAAGGCACAATCTTTCCATTCCTTAAACACACTCACCAATTTCTTAAAGCGGAGGGGCCGTCACCTGTGCACGCGCGGGAATTGAGTCACAAGTGACATTAACAACACACGCTAAAACGCAAAGGCTCATGGGTAGAGTACTTTTTTTTTGTTATTTAAAATATAAAAGTGTCAAAAAATACAATTTTTGCTTTACCATTGTGTTCTATGAAATTGTTCTGAAAGTAACAATTTTCAAGTTCAAGAAATATTAGGACAGGTTTCTTAAAAAGCTTAACTATAACACACAAAACTAATGAACATTTATGAAAATTTTGTCAAAATGACTAGGCTTCTACCTTAATATTAAATCCGCAAGGAATATCGAGTTCTTTTCCAGCCATACTGTTACACGCTATTACCGTATTTAGATATATGTTCACGAAAACACGTTTTTAACAGAAAGTATCCATAGACTCATTGTGTAGTATATTTCTTTCTTTACTTTTCGGGTTCGTGCCTTTCTCTTCATTACTCGTACAACACGATATGTTATGCGAGACGCCGCTTTTATGGACGATTGCAGCGCTGAGAAGCCATCAATTGAATTCATCTACGTCTTATGCATCTCATTGTGTCTGACAGGAAAGGTAAGTGACGCCAAAAAAGAAATAATATTATGACATCCTAGTACATTTTAAAATAACATGCATACATGATGGCGGGAGAGTATTTAACAAAAATAAGTCTCGTTGTTCTCTTGCTTCACGAGATCTCGGCCGCTATTTGCATATTTCATCCAGTTTCATTCATAAGGGGAGTTTGAACCGAATTCAACTGTTGTACTACGGAGCATACTGCGCATATGTGCAATGCATTATGGGAGGGAGATTGAAAGTTTGCGTTTACTGAGCATGGTACTGAAAATATGTACAATGCATTATGGGCGTGAAATGATAGTTTTGTATTTACTGAGCATGTTACTGAGCATATGTACAATGCATTATGGGCGTGAAATGAAAGTTTTTCATCTACTGAGCATGTTACTGCGCATATGTGCAATGCATTATGAGCGTGAAATGAAAGTTTTTCATCTACTGAGCATGTTACTGCGCATATGTGCAATGCATTGTGGATGACAAAATCACATTGATTATACAGTGTAACCGAAGATATAATGACATTTTTTGAAAATATCATTTGGTGATTTAAAAAAAAATACATCTTGCACTCTTGTTTCTCGAAAAATAGTCAAGTAACACAGTTAATGAAATTATGAAAAAAGGGAATATTCAATTTCGTTGAAATATACATTATTTATGCATACAATAAATAAATAAATACTTATCTTTATATGATTACCGATAAAGATTAAGTGCACATCGGTGAATCACTAAACCATGTTGATTGGTGATCACGTGCTGGATCTTCTATTTTAGCTCCATGGGCAAGCCACGGAGTCATGTCTAATCAAATGAAACAATGTTCACAGCGATCCCTGTACCATACGAATATCGTCCGATGCAGCTTGGGTCCAAAGCTCTATTTTCGCCCATCCTCGTCATTTGTGGCCCATTTCCCGCGAGATTTGGGACTATTTCACGATGTTGTCGTGTGCACCGAAGTTCTACATCTCACAGGAAATGTGCCACAAAAAACGAAAATTGACGGTGAGTGTTGGTGAAAAGTACTACGGATAATCCAGATCCGTCACCTCTGATCCCACTACTCAATGTTGCCTTAATCGCATTGTCGGTGATTCGAAACGGATCACTCGAATATCTAATTACTTTAGGAATTTCAAGAAAAAGAATCCTATCGTCTCCTTCTGGAGAACAATCTAGAGAAAGCCAAATCATTTTATTCTATTTTTTCCCTAATGGTCGGTAGCGATTACGTTTGTATTTTCAGTAAACGTAGGTGTAATGGCAGTAGTCCACGCAGCTGACGCCACACCAGCCGTTACACTGCTGCTTACAAACGACACAATCGAGCGACTGACATTTTCATCCGGGCCATTTTGAGGTGGTATTATCGACAGCATGACAGTCAAACTGCGATGAAATTGTCCGGCCGACATGGCGGACACTGACAACTCAGGAATGGAAGACTCCTACTACACTCGATACTGTGATCTGATATGGAAAAACAAATACCCCATGTATGTGACGATAGTGATGATGTCACTACTAGCGTCGAATCAAATTAGCAGGTAAGGAACATGTCCCCCCCCCCGCCCTGGTGTCACCGTACAATGGATGTAGCTAAATAATCACGGTGATAATTTCATGCAATATAACATGTTTCTGGGATTTCAAAACAAGTTTTTTGTTTTTTTTCGCACAATTTACAAGGAAAATATATAAAATAACGTCTTTAGAATATTATAGTTTTACGACTGCATAGATATATAATATATAATGTTTTGCCAGCGGTTATAACGCGCTTATATTTGTAGATTGTTGAACAATTTCTTCCAAGAAAAATATAATGTAAATATTTACAATGAATACTATTTTACAATTGTATTGGTATATCATATATTGACACTTTGATTAGAGAATTAAAACATATTTTGCCATGTACTGTAGTCAACTTCACGTGTTGTGATTTACGTGTCCAAACACCCCCACCTCCCACTACACCAACGCCACGAAAGTCATTACTTT